AAAATAAGACTGATAATTTAAACCACATCATGACAATTAAATGTTGTTATAACAGTAAGATGAGACTTAAAATAAGACTGATAATTTAAACCACATCATGACAATTAAATGTTGTTATAACAGTAAGATGAGACTTAAAATAAGACTGATAATTTAAACCACATCATGACAATTAAATGTTGTTATAACAGTAAGATGAGACTTAAAATAAGACTGATAATTTAAACCACATCATGACAATTAAATGTTGTTATAACAGTAAGATGAGACTTAAAATAAAACTAATAATTTAAACCACGTCTTGACAATTAAATGTTTGTTATAACAGTAAGATGAGACTTAAAATAGGTCTGATAATTTAAACCACATCTTGACAATTAAATGTTGTTATAACAGTAAGATGAGACTTAAAATAAGACTGATAATTTAAACCACATCATGACAATTAAATGTTGTTATAACAGTAGGATGAGACTTAAAATAAGACTGATAATTTAAACCACTTCATGACAATTAAATGTTGTTATAATAGTAAGATAAGACTGATAATTTAAACCACATCATTACAATTAAATGTTGTTATAACAGTAAGATGAGACTTAAAATAAGACTGATAATTTAAACCACATCATGACAAATAAATGGTGTTATAATAGTAAGATGTGACATAACAGTAAGACTGATAACAATCTAAACCACATTAATACTGACTGTATAGAATGAGTTTCCAGTATACTGACAAGACCCTTTTGTTCAATACCAGAGCTTATCAAGCCAGCTAGGTTACATCATGCAAAGTCTTGTTTGAAAGGTAACTAAGGAGACCACAAATGTGGTATATTATGGTACATGTCACGGCTACTTCAACACCCGAAGAGTTGAGGGTGTTTTAATATTTTTAATCTTTAACTCTCTAAAAACTAGCAAAGAAAACATCAGTATTTCATCTCAAGTTTAAAGTATAACAACACAACAAAAGTTCAAACTTTGCTCTTATCACAGTTTTATATTTATATTTTACTGTTCATCTACTGCTCTCCACTTTTATATCTGTGTTGTAGATATGATCAAAACATTATACAAATCTGCACAAATCCCACTGACTTGGACAGTTACTGCAATAACACCAACATTTTGAAATTCTCTATCTATTTTAGTCCTCAAACAAAACAGGTCATGAATAACAACTCCTTATACGACCTTTGAATGTACTCACTGGTTAACACACTGTTCTTAAATACAAAAGGAAAATTCTAGTTTTAAATAGTACACAGTGAAATACTTCTCACAATACCGCACTTAATGTGGATTTAACAACACAAAACAGAGCATAAGCTCTTTCACCTACAGTACATTTATTATAACCTTTGATCCATTACAAGTTTAGCAACAAAAAAACATGCTAGAAAAGGTAGTACAAATGTTCTTGTATAATAACTATCATTATTTGCTTAGTGTTTTTAGAACTTACCCAAAAGCTTGTTCTTTCAGTATGGTGTCATTATTGAGAAGAAGTCGGACATCTGAAATTATAATTGAGGTATACACGTATTAGTTCTCTCCCAGTAATGCTACAAAAAGACCTTTTCCAAGAAGATATAAAACTTACCAACAGACAATTCAAACCAAGGAACTGAAGCTATGGTAAAGAAAGGTTCGTTATGTTTCATATGTCTGATCTAAAACATGCAAGCAAAATATTGCATTTTATTATTTTTATTTATAGGTTTGAGTATATTATATTAAAGAATTCTGAATATACAAATCAGCAACAACCATAGTTAATATAAAGTTGCAGTGGAATGGCTTGTATCAGAACTATGTTTGGTGTTTTGTAGGTAGCATGAGGTCACTGAAAAACTAATTGCTTTTGAGAAGTGTATTAACAGCCATTTTTGATGCTAAATATACACTCAGGTCATAAAGATGTGTTTAGATTGTGGATTTAGAATTTACAATCTGGGAATATCCTTTGCACTTAAAAGCACCAGAAAACAATGGACTATGAATCAACTTAGATCACAAAGAAAGTCCAAGACGAGTATTACAAGATGTATGCCATCCATGGTAAGCAAAGTACAATGTTCTGTAACAGGTAAAGATCCACAAATACACAGTTCTGTGCCAAAAGCTATCCATGCATCATAGGTAACAGCATGCAGTATAATCAAGTATTTCTGTTTGGAAATGAGACCAACAGAGTAGGGGGTTCACCCAGATGTGGCTTCCAGTCATACCTCCCATTCAATCATTGCATATCTCAATCTGCTGGAAAATGAAATATGTATTTATGCTTTTCACAATAAAGACATACCAGTGAAGTTGCTGGATGAAGCACTTTTGGATTTATGCAACACTGGACTGTGGAACTGGATAATGTTGTTCTCATACATTACACAGGAAAGCATGCAGGGAGGAGTGATGCTGTTTTGGACATGATAACCTTACAACAGAGTCTTTTGTAATGAAAATATATTGTAGGGCTATTGTCAAGATGCACATTCAACAGAAGCTCCAAAATGTTTTTAATATAACATACCCATCCTCTGCACATCTCATGTGATTTAGTTTTACATTGAAAAATACAAGAACTATGTGCTATTATCATAAAAAACACTTCAAGATAAATATTTAACTTCTAAAATATATATTATACTGATCTACTTCACATTAACCATGTGCATAATCTTCATTAACTTTCTTCTACAGTTTGTGCACTGATTTTATCATATGTAGATTAACTATACATCAATGCACATAATTAGAAAAATAATAATGAAAAAAGTAATGATGTTGGAAATTGGTTAATCCAAGAGTTTGTTAACACAAGTAGAATTCAAAGTTATAATTTTCCTATACTGAAAATATATTTCTGACAGGTACATACCTCCTCTCACATATATATTAGCTATTCTTGATCAGTGTTACTCTCTATATACAAAATGTTTTTTTCATGCCACGAGCCTTGCACTCCCACTTACCCATGACTATCATGGTTCCACTGCATTTCACTCGCAAATTGTCATGCGACAATCCTCCACCAATAGGAGTGCAACACAACCTCCTGTCTCATGTAGCTCCCTCTATTCGATTCTACTGAAGTATCATTTTGAGTTTAGGCAGTAAAGGAAACACTGATTTTCAGTGGGGAAGTAAGGGTGAGAAGGGGTGAGTATCTATTGGAAATATGGTACATTACCTCCCCTCACATATATAGCTAGAATCCCACATTGAATAGGTGGAGAGACCTGGTGAGGGATATAAAGAAGCACCCTTCAAAAGCATCCAAAGAATACCTTATACTGATGATCCTTGTAATAAAGAATCATCCTTGGGAGACTACACCACTTCTGTACCAGGTATACTCTTTGTCCAGTGTGTAAAGATATGTCGATGTCGCAGACACAGAAGGATAAAAAGGAGGAGCATTACCAAAAGATGGGATTGGAATCCGAACCACTTCAGAACATACATACAATCCTGATGAAGAAAGGCTGTAGGTGAATTTTCTACACACAGTAATATGGGGAAAAGCAAAACTGGATGTGCTCCAAGGTGTAGAGAGGCTAAGAAATGGTGGACCATTTGTAGGCAGTCAACTCCAGTCCAGAACCAAGCGGTATTGGGAATATAAGCTCCAATCCGTGGTCCACACCATCTTCGCCTCAAGTTCCATAGAACGGAAATATACACTGTGCAAACCAATCTGCAAAATGGGCACATGTGCTCAATCCACAACCAACCAGACATTCAGGAACCCGACATACAAATGACATTAGTAACAGGCAATACATGTGTGAGGACTCATGTTGATTGAATGAGGGATCCCAATCAAAGGAGTGAACTGCAATGTGATAGATCCTCTCCAAATCAACATCATCTCCTCCAACAGGACTGTAAAGCATTGGAATGCATCATGAAGTTCTTCAGGATACCACAACACAAAAGTGGATTGCCCCTAAATTCATATGCAATCTCAACCCCCAGATAGTCACAGAAGCCGGCCACAATATAAACCCTCAGAGCTCATCACACAGAGATGGTACACATGAAAGGAGGACCAGTGTCATCTGCACCGGCAGAAGACCATACTCCACTTAAAGAAGGGGGGGGATAAAATTTGGTGAAGAGTCTGAAGGAATGCCAACACCAGAGATAGTGCAGACCTCCCCTGATTTATTCAATCAAAGGGATGGCACAGATGGGAGCTTGGGAGCTATCCCCTTCTGCTTTACCCATGTAAGTCCATGGGCTAGTACTGTCTGGAATGAGCATATTTATGGAGATAATATATCATGAGGAAAAAACCTACGAGTAATCTTGTGGAACACCCCATCTCAACAGTGTGCATTATATGCCATGGGAATATAGTATTTTTTGATAGCAGCATGGCCATACAGTGTGTATTTGTGATGCATTACGTATACCTTGACAGGCAATACTCATCACAGAGTGGGATCCTAACAGTAAAAAAAGGACATACCCCTGAAATAAATTAAAATCTATATAAAAAGAAATAACTTATCCATTCACAGTCTCACCGACAGGTGGAAGATGGTATCCCAACAAGGAAGAAAGCACTTAATGCAAGTAGTGGGAGACAAATGTATGAGTAGTAGTCTATATGCCCACTAGAAGAATTTCCTCCAATGGATGATGGAGGTGAGATGCCAGGGAAAACTAAGGTGCCTGATCTCATGCGACAACACCTGGAACATATTTCAGGAAAAAGAAGAAGACAAGGAGGAATAAGCCAATTGAACCAAAAGCTGAACCCAACTGGCAAGTGTTGAAGGAGAAAGGTCACAAACAAAGAAATGATGCCAAGGGACGAAAAGGCGGGAAGAAAAACCATGGAAAGAAGCCATGCAGGAAATGTAACAATGAAGAGCATATATGGGACACAGAAGCCTATCTGGATCAGACTTGGAATAAAGGTAGGAGATGGAAGGAAGTGAAATCAGCAAGAAGGAAGAATCACCTTCACATGCTGCCAAAGTCTTGAGAAGGAAAGATCGATCCAGATAAAAGAGAACATATGTGGAGATGTTGATGGCAAATATATTAGATCAATAACACCCACAGGCTAATAGGTGTTAATGGACAAATGAAACAAAGAACTGGAGGACAAAGGTTCAAATGGAGGTAAAATAAGGCAGTGAAGAGCCACATAGACATCTCAATCCAGATGGACTATGATAAAGCTGCTCAATATCCAGAGATGAATAAAATCAAAGTTCAATAACTGAACAGCCAACTGAGGAAATTGGTAATAAGAGGAATGGTGGATCGAGAAAGGAAAAACCCCGACGTAATGACCAATAGTGGAAGATGTTCATTTATTTTGATAAACCGTCATTGAAGAAGGGTGAATGGAACAAACTAAAAAGGAAGCAACCTGCTGAGACAATCTGGATCTCCTTGCCAAGAACCTGATAAATGCCAGGCATGAAGACAGGGGGTAGAAAGGGCAGGATGAAATACCAGTGACTGAGATTGATGTAGAAGGGATGGAGTGAGAGGGAGTGGCATGGATGATTGAAATCACCTTGGAAAGAAGACAGATGGGAGGATAAACATAAACGTGTCAGTCCAATCCAGGCTGAATGCATTGACAGTTAGGGCTTGTGGCTGAGGAACCGGAGACCAAAAAAAAAGGTAACTTTGGCATTGAAAAAGGAAGCAAATGCATCCAGATGAGGTGTTTCCCAATGTGAGCATAGCCACTGGAAAACATGAGGATCGAGAGACCACTCCATGGGGTAAAGTTTGTCTTGTCTGAAAAGATAATATGCCACAAGGTTGAAAGCACCTGGGACATAACAAGTCAGGAGATGTATCCCATGCATGTGCCAAAAAAGTAGATCCAAAGGTCGACCTCAAAGGGAACAAGAATGGGTAACCCTTGATGATTGATATAAGCTACTACTGTAGAATTGTTGGAATTGATCAGGACAAATCAATTCCTGACTAGTGAAAGAAATTGATCTAAAGCTCGTCATCCCATCAGCTGCTCCAAGATGTTGGCATGGTAAAACCATTCGGTTAAAGACCATAGTCCAGAAGCCTCCTGCTGATTGATCCACACTCCCAACCAATTAGGGAAGTATTGGTGAAGAGATGCAAAACTGGGTGAGGAAGTGGTACACCCAACAATATGTGGGCCTTGTTCAACCACAATGGGTAAGTGGGAGTACAAGTTTTTTTGCATATAGAGGGCAGCATTGAATGAGAAAAGTTTTGTATGTGAGAAGAGGTAATGTATCGTATCAGAAACCATTTTAAGATATATTAATTAATTTTTCAACAATAGATTCTAAGTGCACATATGAATTAACCAACCTGTGATACAAAC